AAAATTTAATATTTGTGTTTCCATGGACACCATCAAGAAAGTAAAAAGACATTTTTTAGAAAAAATATCCAGATGTTAAATAAATATTACAGTGTTAAATATACAATATGAGGAAAATAACTATACTGTATTGTGTATTTGATGTTTACTAAGGGACTAATTTTAAAAGTTTTTGACAACAAAAAGGATTATATTTATGTTGTGATAGGTATTAATATGTCAATTACATCTTAATTTTAAAAGTAAAATAAAAGTCCAAGCAATATATATTAAACATAGCAAATATCATATTACACCCCTAGGTGTATCCCAAGAGTCCATAGCACCATTGCTCTGTAGTAGCCCCAAGTGAGAACAACCCAAATGTACATGAGGTGATGAATAGGTCAATTCAATGTATTTTCATACAATGGAATACTAGTCAGTCATCAAAAGGAAGCCGAAGTTCTAATACATGCCACAACATGGATGAAACCTGGAAGATTTTGCTAAGTGAAATAAATCAGTCACAAAAGCCATTTATGTGACATGTCCAGTATAAACAAACCCATGAAGGCAAAAATGAAAGTGATTGCTGAGGCCTGGGAAGCAGAGAGTGGCTAATGCTAATCTGCATCTAGATAGTGATGATGGAGACATAGTGCTGCGTGTATTAAAACACCACTGAACTGTAGCTTGGAAATGCTGAACTTTTGATATGGGAATATACAGTAAAGATATTACGCTTATTTAAGACTAAGTTAATGGCTATTTTTTTTTTAAGAAATCTGCTTCGTTATACCATGAATGAAAAATTCAAACTTACAATGGAAAGTATAAATGGAAATATTAAGAAATTTTTGAGAAACAGAAGTGAGGAAATTATTCTACAGATAGTAATACATAGCATAGCATTGAAATAACACTCTGAAACTATCCCAAGGACAGACAAAAAAAATTAAATCGAGAGAGAAATGAATTAAATGTATTAGGAAAGTAACATATAATGAAGATAGTGTTTCTCCTCAATAGGAAAGGCATCGATTATTTATGACATGATATTCAGCTCTCAGCTAACTTTCTATCAGTCAGCTTTTTTGGTAGAAAATAATCCTGCCAAACTGAGAAGAAGAATTTAAAGGAAAGATTCAGGGGAAACCAAGCTCAGAAGATCTCAGCAAGGAAAAGATGCGGGGGAGCTGGGAGGGGAGCCCTGCGGTGCTGGACTAGGAGGTGCTGGATGCCCGGACCTCCACCTCTGCTGCATGAGCAAATTCCCACGGTCCCCATGTTCCTGTCTCTCCCTCAAAACTCCCTCAAGACCAGATAGAGTCAAGTCTCAAGGCCTGCATTTATTTTCTTTTTTCAGTGAGAAATGAAAATTTTATTCAAATAATATAGGGATTATCTGAGGAGGGTTTCTGAGAGAGGAGATGGGAGTGAGGAGGGACTTAGAAGCAAAGTAGAAATCAAAGTGAATTTACAGAGGTGATCACACAAAACTGAAATATTCACTTATTTCCATTCTAATGCAACAATATACCTGTAATCCCAGGGAAAATTGATTAGGAGCATGATCATTTAATGACATGCATGTGGAGTACTGGAGAATATATACTGTGTGTGTGTTCGTATGTATATGGTCTGCAGCTTACTCTCTCCATGGAAAATGGCTGGTCTTAGTCTACACTTCAGAAAATGGCATGTGGATTCAGGGCCTTCTCAGACCCCAAAGCCTCATTTTTTCTCCATGTGTGGATAATATAATGGACTATAGAGCAAAGAACTTTGTGTATAAACATTTTATAAATCATTAGTCTTATATGAATCTAAGACTGTTCATTTAAGTTTCATAAGACTGTTCTACCCAAAGGAAAGAATCACTATCAGAAAACTCACTACAGAAACCAGTACATAATACTATAAACCAATATTCCTTCAATAAAAATAAACTTAAAAATCATGCTGCAGTCAATATTAGCCAAATTAAATGTATCCATTATCAGGGTCTGCCTCTTGACCACTGGCGTGGGAAGACAGGAGTGTGTGCCCTCCATAGGCACTTCAGGGAGAACCCACTGCAGTATCGGCCCAAGGGGAAGATATCCAAGTGCAGGGGGACCAAAAGTGGCAGATTTCCTTTAACATTTGGAATTAACTAAAACTAGAACTATTCTTTATATCATAGGGCAAAATTAATTCCACATGGATCCAGATCATTAATGTTGAACTTGAGATCATAAAAGTACTTGAAGAAAATATACGTGAATACTCACGTAATATTGGTTTGAGCAGGTTGTAAGCATGATATAAAAATCAGAAAGCCATTAAAAATGTCAGCAGAGAATATTAAATGAGCCAGAAAGAGAATTGTTTGTTAAATTTAAAAAAAAAAAATTTTTTTTTCAAGTAGACTAGTATACACCACACCCTTAAAAAGCAGTTTTTATGGGTGGAGACTAAAGGCATGTTTTCCTTCCTTCTTCTTTCTCTCCCTATTTATAAGATTTTTTCCTCAAAAAAATTAATTACTACCCCCATGTTTATTGCTGCTTTATTTACAATTG